TTGTATGATCTCATAGATCATTGTCATATAACTCGTATCATATAGGTTCATATCATATCACATATATCACATGTGCATGTAATCATGTAGATCGTATTTTATAATTTGTATCATTTCTCATGTGTTCATATAAACACGTATGTCATATCTTGCTCACATATGAATGTATTAACATACATTAGATTCACATATCTCATATTTTATTCCCATATGTTCACATCAATCATGTCACATAAAATAACATGTCAAACATATCACATATAATAACATATGACACATATACCCATTTTCATGTACTCATGCACACATAAGCATCATATCAATCACATGCTTGTACTTATGGAATCATGCATTCCAACATGGGAAATAGATTTATCGTAAATCCTACCAAATGATGTATAAAACATCCATATAATGTTATGCATGCATCACAATCAAGTAACATTTTAGGAGTCACTTCTTACAATAGTAACTCCGTCACTGGCTCATCGCAAGCCAATATTGTTTATTCTATAACATAAGTACAAATTAAATTTGCACTCACCTTGACACTTTATATATCCAAAAGATGTTCCTCACTATAATCCACAACAACCCTTTTATACTTGACTTGTCTTAGTCACAAATCAATCACGATCTGTACAAATAACAATTTTATAACGATACATATGTTAGTATTGTACTAACATAAACACATCTCAAATAAAAAATCCATAATATACTTGAAACTCATTTTCTATCAAAATACTTAACACTTAATAATTCCTTTTAATATTGGCACCAATTTTTCCAGTTTATATAAAATGGTCATTCACCATTTTATCACTTAAATTTTAAATACCAAAAATTCCAGAAATTTCAGTATTGGAATTATTGCCAAACAAGTACTTTTACAAAGGTACAATTACATTTGAGTACCACAACTATGTGAATGTTGAATTTAAATCACAAATCTTTTCAAGCTTCCAAAATAATCATATTTCACATCTAAATGCTCATTTTAATCCCAAAACAACAATTTCCAGTATAGTACATCAACTATTAAATAATTATACAATCATTCATAACTTTTCCAAAATTACCGAATTGGTCCCCTAACTTTTCAAAAATTACAAAATGGTCCCCTAATTTTTCTAAGGCTTGTAGAATACTTCCTACATCATTTTCAGACCTTATATAATTTTTTCATAATTTTTCTCACTCAAATACATCATGATTGGATACTTTATCCTTTAAAACTACGTTTTCATGATTTTGCTCGATTTTGATTCGATTCAAGTATGAAATCAACTTTCAATCAACCTTATAACATATCTACAATCAAATTCCTAATCAACTCTCATCAGAACACAAAGTTCTACAATTTATAATTTGGTCGAATTTTACATAATAATTTCTAGGAAGATTGAACATATTTTAACCATAAATCAAGCTTGAAAATGAATCTATAACCTCTAAATCATCAATTTCATGAATCATTTCATGAACATAAACCCTTAGATTTGGGATCTTTGAAATCCAGCAAGATTAGAAAGCAATATTGATACCAAATGATAGCGTTTTTCGTGTAGATCATTTTCTTATTTCACGACATAACTCGAATTCCAAAGAAAATTGCTCAAAAATGGAAAACAAATATTTTTCCCTTACCTTATGAAACTTAAGTTCTTTACTGGAGAAGATGAACATCTTGGCATGATATTTTAGATTGATATCATTCTTATCTACCTTTAAATTAATATTTAATTCATTAAATTGGGAAAATACCAATTTACTCTTAATAAAACTTCATAATTACATTTAAACCTATACACCTCACCCTTATCCTCTTCAAAGAAGAGACATATCAGCCTTATCATCTTTTAATAGTCAAAGATGAACAAAATATTTTCTCACTTTATCATTTTACTCTTGAAATTTCCAAAAATTACAATCCTACCACTTTAATCCAACGATCCAAATTAAACATGTAATTAAACCATTAAATATTATTTTTCAACATTTTTAAAATGTTAAAATAATATATTTATTTTCTTATTTTCGAAACCAACAGTAACTTTTTTAAAATTATCATTTGGTCCTTGAACTTTTCAAAGTTTATACTTTAGTCACCAAACTTTACAAATTTACAACTTGGTCACTCACTAAATCCATTTATGGAATAAAATTCTTTTTGGGAAAATTATCACTTAATTCCTTAAACTTTTTCCAACTTTTCTAAATTACACATAAAGTTTCAAAATCTTACAATTTGGTCACTAACCTGATTTTTGGGATGTTACATTTATCTGATGTGTCGAGGAAGGCAAGAATGGTTTGCATATTGTTAAATGGCAGTAGGTTTATAGGCTGATAAATTAAGGTGGCTTGGGTTTCCGGAGTTTAGCTCAACAGAATAAGGTGTTTCTCATGAAAATTACATTCAATATTTTAGCTAAGAAAGATCATCTGTGGATGCGATTGATACGGGCTAAGTATAGGTGTTCGGATGGTATCCCTGATGTGATTTGGAGCATTAGTTGTTCTACTCTTTGGAGGGGCCTTGTAGTTGTGTGGGAAGATGTTAGGAATCATGTTTCTTGGTGTGTCAGTAACGGTAAACTGGTGGAGTTCTGGTTTGATGTCTGGCTTGGTGATTGTGGTCCTTTGATAAATCATGTGATAGCGACTGGAGGTATCGGCATGCATCGGATTACAGTTGCTGATGTGACAGATGGCGAGGGGAATTGGCGGTGGTCTCAATTTGAGCATTTGCTTCCACCAGATATTCTGCTGCGAATCACTGCAAAAAGGGTCCTCTGGGTCATCTTGTTGAAGATTCAGTTGGGTGGAGTCTTAATGCCGATGGTCGTTTCTCTGTTAAGTCGGTATATGTGCTTCGTACAGCTGATCAGTATAGTCTTTCCAATATTTTTTGGGTGAAGGTTAATGAGTTTCAAGGGCTGCAAACAATCAATTTTTTCTTATGGCTCTGTTGTACTGAACGTGTCCTAACAAATGCGGAGAGGTTTCATCGGCATCTAACTTTGAGTAGTAGTTGTCCGATTTACGCTGCACCTGTGGAAGATGTTGATCATTTGCTGCGTCGATGCTCGTCTGTTACTTACATCTAGTCTGCGTTCGTTTGGGGCAATAAATTCACTGAATTTTTTGATATGAATCTGCATGAGTGGATGATCTTGAATATGGGAGGAGCGATTGATTTTGTAGGTGATAGGGATCATTGGGATATATTCTTCGGTGCTCTTGTTTGGAATATTTGGTTGTAACTGTCGACACCATTTTTCGCCCGGACGGAGAAAGACTGATACCGACTCAGAGGTTTTTCTTTTTGAAAAGGTTTTTCGAAATGTGAGGAGTCATTACTAATCATTTAAGGTGCGATTTGGATACCATAAAAATCATGTTATTTTAATAAAACGTTTTATTTTTATCAAAACACCAAGTTTTAAGGTCTGCAAAAATCCAAAAATCAGGTTCAGGAGTCAGTTACGTATGTGGAATGATTAACAGCCCCACAAGCGCCCAATAATTGGTACCTAGTTGATTACCCTATATTTAAAATAAAAAAATTTGAGTTCAATCTTTATTTAATTTAAAAATCATTACAGATGCAAAGTTGAAAAGGGTATTCGTTTATTAAAGTCGATAGCATTCGCCCCCTAGCATAAACGCGGGAGATCAGCTATTGTACTCGATAATCGAATATTGCCTCAATTTTAAAAATCATGATGCGATCTTTGAAAATGATGTCAACCTATTTCGGGAATCATCGGTAGTCACCCCCTGAGCATACTTGCGGGAGATATACCATTAATTCCCTAATAAGTAAACATTGCCTTAGGTTTAAAAAAATAACATGCAATCAAAAAAAAATTATTCATCCTAATTAATCTAAGGGTAAATTAAGGTCTTTTCTATCTTAAAGTGTCAAATTATGAAAATTAAGGAATCTAGGGGACTAAACCTAAAATGTGGGTTCTAATATTAACCATATTCGATTTTTAATCAACTATTGAATTTAATAATCGAGATAGTCCCTCGAGCATTTAAGCGAGGGACACCTCAAATTATTCCTTAAATTAAAGAGACTAAATTGAAGTCTAACTAAAATAGAGGTTATAACATTAATCTAAATTAATTTTAAGATTCAAATAATTAAATTGGAACCTCGAACAAAAGCGATGACCAAATTAAGAATTCTCCTAATTTAAGGGCTAAATTTAAAATTAAAGTAATCTAGATAGGGACTAAAACGATACAAATATTAAAGGCCAATAAAATATAAAAGTACTAAAATTACAATACTAAAAAATGAAGGGTAAAAATAAAATAAAATAACAATAAGTTAAAGGACTAAATTGCATAAACATTAAATTACCAAGCTAAAAAGGGAAAATAAATTAGAAATACATAAAGGGCTAAATTAAACGAAATTGAAATTTAATGGCTAAATCTAAACAAAATAAAAAACAAATTAGGGACTGAAATGTAAAAACATGTGAAAACTACAGGGACTAAACAATGAATTTACCAAAAAACATGCATGAAAATGGGTAAATCACGAAAATAATCCCTACAGGTGACTAACATACAAAAACACGCGTAAAGTAGGGGGATTAAACATAAATTATACAAAAAATTTCAAAGCACAAATAGAAAAGGAAAAATTATAAAAACAGTCCCTTCTAGTGACCATTTTGTAAAAACACGGATGAGTTAGGGGGTCCTAAGTGCAATTTCCCCTAACTTATTTTATAAATACAACTTTTTTATAATTTTCATTTTTCCCTTTTTAAAAAAAAACTTAGAGAGAGATTCTCCCCTCTCTCATAATCCCGACCATCGCTCTGTTGTCTGGGTCGTCGCTCCGCCGTCCGGATCGTCGCCATCGCCTCCAGTGGCCTTTGGCCACCAAAATTCACCAGGAGTCTTATCTCGAAATCCCAATCGTCGATCTGGGCTCGATTTCGCACGAAACGACCTCCAACACCGTGAAAATGGCCGAGAGCCCCTTGACTTCCACCACCCAGGTCTCCTCCGTCCGCCGTTGGATCAGGCCCAAATCGAGATATGTTGATCCTCTCCTCAAAGCACTCCTCCTCACCGTTCAGATCTGCGAACTGACCCTTCGAACGATGGTGAGGCTCCGACCAAACGTAAGTCTCTTTTCCTTTTTATTGTTAAAATAATTGCATTGCTCTACTTGGTTTATTACTTTCGAAATAAAAAAGCTTGTTTGGTGGTTTTTTGAATGAAGTAAAAAAAATAGAAAATGAAACGGATTGGTTCTACTCGAAAGAGAAAAAAAACTTCTTTGTTTTCTTTGTATTGCTTCGAAAAGTTATAGAGTGTTTTTTTAGAATCACCATCCGAGACCCTTACAATGATTTAATGCATGAGTCTTATACCCATTGTTACAGGAAAAATGGAATGATTAACATTTGTTTCTTCTGTGTTGTTTGTTGTTGCATGTTGCGTTGAGTGTTGGTGGAAGTGACGTGATGGAGCTACCTTTTGCAGGTATTGGGGTAGAGGGAGGTGGCTGCTGAGTGGGGTGAAAATGGTGGCCATTGGTTGGATGGAGTGGACGGCTACCTAGGGTTAGCCTAGACTCAGGCCGGGTTTTTGGGTTTCGGGTCGGGTTTGGGTGTCTTAGGCATTTGGGTCGGATTTTGGGTTATAGTTGGAGTTTGGTGTTTAAGTATTTGGATTGGGTCTAGTTTGGATCGGATCTTGACTTGGGTCCTAGATAATTGAAAAAATGGTGATCACAGCAACGTAACTCTATTACGTTTGATTCTTCTCGGGATGACAACTAGTCGCCGATCGAACGGAGTAAAGCTGTCTGGGAGTTCACTTGTCAGGTGTTACTGGAAGTAAGGCCTACGCAATTACGACAATTGAATTCTGATGTAACGTCGCAGTGTTGGTGTTGGCCTACTAGTGGTTTGGTGAAAATTAATTCAGATGGTGCTCACCATAGGGCGTTGGGTGTGGTTTCATGCGGGGTCTTATTCAGGATAGCGATGGCCGGTGGATTCTCGGTTTTGCCAAGTTCATCGGCATTTGTTCAGTACTAGAAGCGGAACTTTGGGGTATGTTTCAGGGTCTTTGTTGTGCCAAGGATGGTGGATTCACCCAAGTCATTATGTTGACAGCTTAGAGGCTTTGAAGGAGGTGTCGGATTCAAAGGTGAATTTGAGTAGGTTATTGGTGGCTCACCATATTGCGAAGCTCTTGGAAGGAGAGTGGACTGTGCGGTTTAAACATGTTCCTCGGCATGGAAATAGAGTTGCTGATTGTTTGGATAAGATGGTGGATTGGTGGCATTATGACTGCGTTGTTTTGTTGGAACCTCCCCTGGAAGTTCGACCTTTGTTGGATGATGATTTAGCTGCTCCTGTTTCGGCCTAGCTTGTAGGTCTGCTTTGTCTTGTGTTATTGGAAAAAATGTACCATATTATTATCCTATTTAAAGTATTTTTTTTTTGGTAAAGTGAGTATTTAAAGTATATCATTTTTTTATTTATATATTTATTTAAAATATCTTTTCATCAAAGTAAATACATAAAGTATATCATCTTTTTATACTTTAAATATTTATTTTACTAAAAAAAGTACTTCAAGAATATGTAGAACAAATGTTTATTTTTTTTAATTATAAAGAAATTTATTATAAAGAAATACTAAGTGCGAAGATAGGCAGGACCATAGAGGTCACGGTATAGTAGAGATATAATCTCTTGGGGGGTTCAAGATAGGTTCGAGGTTGTTCATTTGTAACAACGGTAGATTTTGTAAAGAAATTTGCTGCAACATTGGCTTCACGGCGAATGAGAATAAATTCTATCGTCCACTGCTTTGATATAAGATTTGCAATAGAGCGAACAAGAGCTATGAGGCTGTAGTTGGCCATTGGACAAGACACAAGGTTAAGAGCTTCTGCACAGTCTTTTGGCATTAAAGACGTTCAATTTTATGGGACTTGAAGTCCTTCAAAAATTTCCCAAAGTTCAGCTTGTAGTGGAGTTGAAATTCCAACCGACTTATTAAATCCAATGATCCAGTCATCATTCATATTTCGGATGAGACCACCCACCGATCCGAGAGAGGAAATATTGTGTACCGCTCCATACGTGTTAAGGGTGTACCAATCAGCAGGCGCAGGTTTCCATTGGATTAGTTCTGGACGAGCAGTAACAAAATCGGTTGGAGAAATGATCTTTGCTGTGATGATATAGAGGGACCAATTTTTACTTAGGCAGAGGAGTAGTTCATTGTGGAGGAACAAACCAGAAAATATGTAAGAATTTATTCGCTTTCAGACCTGCCAAGCTATGTAAAATGTTTGGGTATTCTCGAAAGTCTTAATATTGTGCGACAGAATGAACACATTATTGTACAAACTGGTAGCAATGAGGCTGTCCACCTGCTATCTCCTTCATCCATGGATAGTCATCTTGCCTTGGTGAGGTCCATTGCAAACCTCTATGACAAGGTTTGGTTCATCTATTTTCAAAAGGTCTTTTGTGAAGAGAATACAGCGGTAGATTTTATCGCAAAAATGGACGCTCCCTTGAATAATTCAGTTATTATTTTTAATTTCTTTTTATTTCAACTGTTAAATATCCTCCATAAAATACTTATAATTCCTTTTATCTTGTCTTAATGTAATGACTTTTTCCTCATCTTATTAAAAAAAATATTTTAAATATTATTTTTTACAATACAAAAAAATTTATTGATATAAATAAATAAAGGCTTAAATATACAAAAGGTGTCCAACATATGCCTTTGGTTCTAGTTGAGGGTTTAACGTTTATTTCGTTCTAGTTTGGTGCCTAACGTTTCATTCTGTAACTCAAATTAGGTCAGACCATGACGGACCGTTAATTTTGGTCATTAAGTGACACGTGTCACAACTTGGTAATTTTAAAATTTTATTTAAAATTAAAAATTAAAATTATATATATATATATATATATATATATAAGAAAAAACAAATTTTGCAATAAACTCAAAACTTTAAAAACCTTCATTTCAACCCCTAAACCAACACCGACCACAGCCTTTTGCCGTCGACAAAGCTTCGCCCGACATCCCCTCCCCTCGGTGACCAAAACCCCCATGAAATCGTGACCGATCAATGGTCGATCGATTGTCGGAATCGCGTGGAATCACAATATTCATCCTAGGGTTCAAGGGTATAAAATGTTGATTCATCATCGATTTGCCGTCGATCGATCACAATTTTTATGGGGGGGTTTTGCCGCCGAGGGGAAGGACGTCAGGTCAGGTGGAGCTTCGTTGACGACAAAAGAAGCATGCAGGAGTGAGTTTAGGGGCTGAAATGAAGGTTTTCAAAGTTTTGGGTTTATTTCAAAATTTGTGTTTTCTTTTAAATATATATATATATATATATATATATATATATATAAAATTTTAATTTTTTAATTTTAAATAAAAATTTTAAAATTATCAGATTGTGATTTGTGTCACTTAACGACCAAATTAATGTTGTTGATAGTCCGAGCACCTAAATGAATAACAAAATGAAACGTTAGACACTAAATTGAAACTAAAGACATACGTTAGACACATTTTTGTATATTTAAGCCTTAAATAAATAATTTTATAAAAAAATACGCTTGACGAAAATTAAAATTTATAAATTTCAGTTTTTGAAAAACTCTTTACTGCTTTAATTCTAAAAAATAATTTCAAAACAATGAAAAAGAAGGCATAACCCTTTAGGTAGCATCGTAGTCTCATTATTTTATTCAAACTTTCAAAAAAATAATAATTTATAAGTTAGTTTTTTAAAGGAGAAAAAGAGGCTGAATTGTTGCGGGTCAAAAATTAGGGTGACAAATTTGACTTTCTTTAGCCAACCTTGGAAAATGATGTGTCAATCAATTATCTTTCACATCCACCAAACCTATACTTTTCATTTATTTATTTTCTTTTAATTACTCCGTAATTGTTATTACTTTTAAATTGAGATGTCTTAAGTATGACATCCTTAATATACGATTAGAGAAATATTCTACAAAAAATGTTATTATTTTTTGATATTTTCGGTAAATTGTTATTTAAAATATTATTTTTTATTAAAAATGTTAATAATGAGCGCTGCTTAAAATGTTATTTTTTCTACTGGAAATTAAATAGCTAAATTAACATTTTCAGTAAAAAAATAATGTTTTAAATAACGCTTTACCAAAAATGTTAAAAAATAATAATATTTTCGATAACATTTTTTCTTAACCATATATTAAACTAACGTACAACAGACTACCCATAAATTGTCTAGAATAACCAAACCCTTTTCCTACAATAATTATAAGTTTTATTCACATCCGATTACATTAAATACGATAAATATATAACTTAATACATAGCATGAAATTTAATATATATAAAATTTACAACCTAAAAAATGTCACAGGAAGGATTTACATTGCATCCACCTGTCATTTTTATTAATATTATTTTATTTTCAAACTATAAAAATATTATAATATGAACATATTAAATAGTCTTAAGTGATTAAAAATAAATATTAATCTCTCTAGAAGCATTGAATTTAAGTAGCGACATTTTTCCGGCATTTGTGCATTATCAATACATTAAGAAAGTTATGAATAAATACTATCGTATAATCATCTCAAACAATTAGAAAAAATATCATAATCTTTCTTGACGTTTTTCTCGAAAAATCACCGGTGATCGGTATATTTACCGATCTAACACCGGTCAGATTATATTTCCCAATCTAACACCCGTAGCAGTAAAGCGCGCCTCTACCCCGCGCTATATGCTGATTTGGCGCCACGTGGGGTATAGTGCACCCCCTGCCCCGCGCTATACGCTGACACGTGGGTATAGCGCGGCCCCTGATCCGCGCTATACGCCACATAGAGGTATAGTGCGGATCAGAGGTCGCGTTATACCTGGTTATCTTACACGTGGGGTATAGCGCAGTACAGGGGGCACGCTATACCTTTAATTATCCACCCGTCCCACCCCAATCATCCCTATAAATACCTCATCCTCAATCACTTTCGTCACACCAAATTCTCTCAAATACTCTCTCTGTTTAAGGTATATTTTATAATATTTTTAATATTATGTATTTAATTTATTTAGGTATTTTACTTTATTTAATATTTTACTAATATAATTCTTTTACAGATATATAATGGAAGGCAATATACTTCGCTTGGATGTAAATCATATATCTCGACACTTTGCTGATACGGTAACATTTTAACGTTTTAATTTAATTTAAATTATTAGTAATAATTAGTTTATTTATTTAATGCATGATTATTAGATTAAGAATTAATTTTTGTAATTATTTATTTTTAGGAGAAGGACCGTGTATTAGATCCTTTTATTAGGAATCTTAAGTTAGTGATACCTAGCCATGTCTTGTTGTATTTAGTAGAGGCTGGATTTGGTTACATAGGTAGATATCAGGGTCACTGTAAGATAGAACCAGACCTTATTTCTGCCTTAGTAGAGCGGTGGAGGCCGGAGACCCACACATTCCATCTTCCGTGCGGAGAGTGCACGATCACGCTTGAGGATGTTTCTATGCACCTGGGGCTTCCGGTGGATAGAGATGTGATATCAGGGATAGCTTCCGGCTCTTGGACTACTTTGTGTCGGGATAATCTAGGACGTGTCCCGTAAAGTTTTATCGGAGGTAGGATACCGTTAAATTGGTTAGATGCCAATTTTCGGGAGTTGAGCGCAGACACCTCTGAGGATGAGGTTAAGATGTATGCACGGGCATGCATATTGCAGTTGATAGGAGGGTTGTTGATGCCGGACAAATCGCGCAACCTAGTTCACTGCATGTAGTTGCGACATCTTAGCGACTTTCGTCACGCCGGATCATTTAGTTGGGGCTCGGCAGTTTTGACTTTGTTGTATAGGGAGATGTGTGGAGCCACTGAATACAGGCGTAATGCTATCGACGGATGTCTCCTGTTGCTGCAGTTTTGGGCATGGTATCGATTACCCTTTTTATGTCCCGTTGTGAAGAACTCATTCGTATTTCCACTACTTCTGAGGTAATTATAAAAATGATTTTATACTGTAAGATAAAACTTATTTCGTATTTTAATCATTTTATACAGTGTATAATAAATGTTTTTCCTTGAATAGGTGGCCTACTGATAGGAAAAATCATCAAGAGCTACCTGATGATTTAGAAAAAATGAGGGTGCTAATCGATCAGAAGGCTAGCACACAGGTATGCCTTTTAATGTTTAAAAATCAATTTTAGATTATAGTTGTATAATTAGATTATTATTTTGATAAAAATTATATATATTTGTTTTAGTTTGAATGTGTGTCATATTCTAATGATGATGTGAGGATGGTAATCCCACCTGAGTTGAGGG